AGAGTGGCAATAAACAGCTACCTATCAGTAGCAGTCATCACAGCTGCAACCTCAGTTCTGCTTCTGTCAAGGAAACACCACCTCAGCACCCCACGGGACTATGCAGGCYAGGAGGAAAGTGAATCACCATCTGCAATCTTGTTTTCTAATAAGTGTTTCCCAAGTGAGGTCTCCCTGGATCCTGTGGTTTTTCTGAAACAAGACTTCCTCTTTATTCCTCTGGCTCACCAGGATTATATGAAAGTCACACTGAAGGGCTGTGCAAGGAGAAACAGAATCAGTAAGAAGTGGTGAACCTGTGTAGGCTACAGGTGGCCAGGCTCCAGAGAAACCCTGGTAAACTGGAAGGAAGCAGGACAGAAATGTGGATTCCAGGAATTGTCCCCCCACCCACCACAAAAAAACCCGGGAAACAAAAGTTCCCCTGGATTAGGGGCTGGCAGGAGGAAGTGGTTGCATGCAAGAGAGAGAGCAGGCCAATAAGACAGGTGGCAACAGCTAACATGTACTTGTCCTCGCAGGCTGGCCACTGCTGGTCTTCTTTAAAACCTGCAGTGCAGCAGCAGCCCAGGATACTGGGCCAGGATGGATTAGGGTCAAGACAGCACCAAACTCAGGGAAGAGACAGAATAGGAGCCAGGGGACCACCTGCCCTCAGACATTCCCTGGTCCATGCCTACTCACCAAACCCTGAGAAGCCAGTTAATGCAAATCACTAGCCTGCCTCTGTCAGATCAGGCTCAACTATGAGCCAGTAGCTTCTACCATACTGGCAGATCTAGAGGGTTCTGYACTGAGGTGTCCATGGCTCTCAGACCAGGCCTCATGCCCTTCCTCAATAGGGCTCATCAGCAGCTGACACTCCAGGACAATTCAAGCTCCCTACTTAAAGGAGGGACCTCTGCCAGCACAATTACCATCAAAGAATCATATAATGTACCATTGAGACAGAATTAAAAACAATCCAAGAATGTAAAAGAACATGGTTAAGTTTACACAGGAAAATTAAATACCTTCTGTGAACCTGAAACACTATTTAGTAACAAAACACATTACAGAAGCAAAAGGTCTTATAAATCTGAACAACCCTGGAGCCACCATCCAGGAACTAGGCCACCAGGGACTGTCTGTCACAAAAAGTTAAAAGGACACTAGGAACTTCTGGTGCCTATTACTTGAAATGACCAARATGCATGAAAAGGTACCCTGGGAAAATGAGTACAAAATCACCCAACTATATAGCACAAAGGACTACATTTTTTTTCCAACACTGAGATGGTTCAAGACTTTTTTGGAAGAAACTTTTTTAAAATTGTAATTTGTTATCCATCTCATCACAGTCAGGCTTGAAGARAAGCATTCTGAAAACAGTAAAGATTTCAGGTAACAAGCTAATTGTTTTTCCTTTTTTTCTATTAAAAATGTTTTGTCCATTCATCTATTGAAGGGCTCTAGGTTGGTTCCACAGTTTAGATATTGTGAATTATGCTGCTATAAACATTGATGGGGCTGTGTCCCTGTAGTGTGCTGTTTTTAAGTCCTTTGGGTATAGACCGAGGAGAGGGATAGCTGGGTCAAATGGTGGTTCCATTCCCAGATTTCCAAGAAATCTCTATACTACTTTCCATATTGGCTGCAAAAATCTGCAGTCCCACCAGCAATGTATGAGTGTACCTTTTTCCTCCCACATCTTCGCCAACACTTATTGTCATTTGTCTTCATAATAGCTGCCATTGTGACTGGAGTGAGAGAAAAAAAAATGTGGCATATATACCTAATGGAATTTTACTCAGCAATTTGCAGGTAAGTGGATGGTGTTGGAGAAGATAATGCTAAGTGAAGTTAGCCAATCCCCAAAAAACAAATGCCAAATGTTTTCTCTGACATAAGGAGGCTGATTCATAGTGGGTAGAGTAGAGAGGGGGAGCATGAGAGGAATAGATGAACTCTAGATAAGGCAGAGGGGTGGGAGGAAAAGGGAGGGGGCAGGGGGTTAGCAAGGATGGTGGAATGTGATGGACATCATTATCCAAAGATCATGTATGAAGACACAAATTGATGTCAGCATACTTTATACACAACCAGAGATATGAAAAAATTGTGCTGTATATGTGTAGTAAGAATTGTAATTCATTCTGCTGTCATTTTAAAAAATCAATAAACATAAATAAATAAATAAATAAATAAAATTTGGCTACAAGTTAAAAGAAAATGCTCTATCACTTGCAGTTTACTTTGAGAGGCCTCCCCTTCACCCCCGTTTCCCATTGCTGGTAAAAACAGCAAAATACAGGAAGTCCTCCAAATCAGAACTATTTTCTGTCTTCTTTTTCTTCTTTTTCTTTTCAGATACAGCAGGAACATGGCTGCTTTTCTASCCTAGTTTAAAGACACCTGATTTTTGACACTTGACTATTAAACTAGTAACTTTTAATTACTATTTCAAATGTTTGGGATGAATATCTCTTAAAAATTAATTGAAATTTCCCTGCCTYCACAAGTGATCAGTCAACATAACATTGCTTGCATGTCTGGATGTGAATGACCYGATCATTACATAAAACATTAATCACTGTATGTGATACAGGTGAGCTGTGGGTGCTGGTGGATGATGATGGTGTGGATTCCTAGGGCTGAAAAGGTACTGACCAAGTAGCCACTATTAAAGATTTGCTTTAGAAAGTCTTTTTTTCCCCAGTTCAGGAGCATGATCTCTCAGGTTCAGCATGGCTAGTTTCCCAGGAAATCCAAAGTTCATGCTACCTTTCCAGAGCCTTCTCTGGCTCACTGTCTCTTTCTCTGTTATCATGGGTACTGCTTGAATTGCAGCTTACTATGCTTTCTACACCTGTAACAATGGAACAATAACCCATGTAGCTCAGACTCAACTAGATGTCGAAGAGACGGGGCTCCCAGGACATAGGATTGTGGGACTTCTGTCTTTGGAAAATCATGAGCTTTAACTCTGCAAGAACTGGTTGTGGCAACTTCAGGAGCTCTAGCCTAACCTATTTTCAGGTACTCTCAATCATATKGTATAAGAGCACTAAAGCTTCCACATCTGTCTGCTCACACCTAAAGGGGCTCCTTCAAAGCACTTAATAAGTGTTGGGAGGAATTCACAGGTTTCCCATGGAAAATCCACTGGCGGCACTGAAAATCTGTGTGGGAAATAAAACGTGCCAAAAGTCTGCCTTTTCTGACTAGGTGACGTCTGCTSTCTCTTATCCCCAAACAGTATTTCAAGGGCTGGGAACCCTAAAGAAAAGCTTGACCCTCAGAAGCACATCAACTGCACTTGCTCAGACCAATCTTGCATCTTTGCAACTAACTCCGTCCCAGGCATAATCACAAAAGCCTGGGACCATAACTAATTTCTCTTTCATTCCCCCAAGGAATTCAGAGCAGTCGTTCTTATTAACTGATCAGGTGACTCTAGAAGAGCTTTAGGCACTAGAGACCAGAAGGGGCCACCAAGTCGACAGAACACTGGTGCCACCATTCCTTCCATTCTGCAGCTCCCCTGTCCTCTGTGTGCAGCTTTTATGTGACTTTGTTCCAGGCAGAGCTGAGGAAGTAGCAGCCTGTCTCCCAGGAAGGCTTTCTTTGTGAATCAGAGGCCAGAACAGGACAGCCAGGCACACCCAGACATAAGTGACATTCAGATTTTAACAACTGTACTTTTCAGCTTCTAAAACTAAAAATGACAAAGGAAAATGTGCTTGGAAGGAGTCATAAGCGTAATGCCCTTCAGCTTCAGAGGCTCGTCTGTGCTCTGGCTTTCTAAGACTGACAGCCCATCGTCCCAGACATCCACAGAAAACTGAGTGGGAAAATCTTTAGGAAAAATGTTTTGCACAGCCAGGAAAACCAAAGCTATGTGTGCTAAGCCACTGGTCCCACYGGCAGGGCTGGGCCATCCCTGGAGAGGCTCCGGGGCACCTGCTGCTCCCATGCCTCCCAGRCTGAGGCAGAAGCCTCCCTCCTCCCACCTGGCTCATATGCCCGGCTTCCTTCCCCATGCATCTGCTTCTTTCTCTCCATGAGAGACAGGAAGGACAAGAGCCAGGATCCACCATACAGTGAGAAAATAACTAAAAGTAAATTCAAGGACTCTAGAAATTGCCCAGGGGAACATGAATGCTGAGAAGGAATTGCTGCTCTGCAGTAATAGCGGCGTGGGGTCTGMCATTTAAAGCTGGAGGCAACTCTTAATTATCAATGTTGCCTGTCTTCAATTGTACAGACAGGATGTAAATAATAGTGGAGAGAAAGTGAGATGAAATAAAGTAAAATATGGAAAAGAACATCAGTGCTAGTGGGCAGACGTCTAGGTGACCCTGATCCCTTGGGACTAACCATTTTYTTCCCATATATCTCCTTATCTCAGGTTTTGACACCCAACCTCCCAGTGCTAGAGAACCTAGCGAGTGTGTTGCCCCTTCCCTCTTCCAGTTCCCCTCCTTGCCAGCCTGGCCRTCACGGAGAAGTCCCCACCACACCAGAATAAAACTAACAAGTTAGAGATGCCTGGATCAGGTTGACAGCAATTACTTTCCCATTAGACAGACTGTTCATCTGTGCTTACCAAAGTTCTCTTAAATGAAATGTTGTGTTCTGTGATTTGAGAAAATAATCTCTTCCCAAAACCATCCAAATAATCTTTTAAAYATAAAGGGAAAACATAGAGAATACCCAGCCCATTTTTCTGCTTATACAGTCCATTAGGAGTCATGGAGAAAAATGAGAATTCCAGCTCTTCAGTGGCTCTCAAGACTTTATAACTAGACCTCTTTTAAAAATAGAAATGGACAGGATAGTGTTAGACTAATATTCAGAAATAACTAAGGACAATACTAATGACCCAATAAACAAATTAGAGTTTCAACCAATTAAAAAGAAACACATTGAGCAGAGTTTGTTTTTATGTCTTGAAAGGACATAAAACAAGAGTAAACAGGAAAAATCTCTCTCACCAAGGAGAGAACTGGAAAACATACCTGAGGAAGCTTCTAGTCTTTCCAATCTGCTGATCAGCCAGTCGAGGGAGCCAGAAAACTGAGCACAGTTTTTACGATTTCCTCTAATTAGAGCCGCTGCAAAAGAAGATGATTTCACAYTGATACAATTTTCCAGTTCAAAAATCAAGGTAAGCTAATGAAAGTGCTCAAATGTTGGATGAAGAACCAAATATCTTCATGTATCACCTAAATCATATGCAAATGCAAACACACAGAGAGAAAACTGATATTAAAAATTACTTGATATTTATTAATGGGACTGAAACAATCTCTGCTCATTGGAAGGAAGAAATTCCAGAGAGTAGACTCCCACACTAGGAGGTAACAATGAAGGGGATGGAAAATCAGSAGCCCAGCAGTCCGCTCTCTTGGATTCTGATACCTGCTGCTCTCAATTAGCCATGAGAGTCAAGTATTTCATCTCCCTAGAGCTCAGTCTTCTCTCCCATGTGATAAAGACATTAGAGTAGTGAAGTTCTCCTGAACATGCAGCACAAAACACCAGGAGACATAACAGCAGGTATACAGAGGGGTGTAACTGAATRTCAATGGAGAAACGATGGGACGGCTATGGCTAGTTAAGTTTGGAAACCATGTGTCTTTTCCTACAGCTCTCCTTTCCACCTGGAGAGTCACATGGCATTCTAAAGACTCAGATAACCTGAGGTCACCTATTCTAACTGTATCTCACCTTTTTTACAATCCTTTCACCAAAGAACACTCCGTATATGAAATTCCTACATGACTTTTGTCTCTTTCAATCTAGTTGTTTTTACTTAATTAAAAAATTTAAAGTAAAAATTCAATGGATTAAATTATTTCAAAGCAAGCCTAGTATTTTTTTTAAAAAAATAAATTATGTCCTGGTCWGAAACAGCACAAGTGCTTATTAAGGGTTGGTGAGATTTTGAACAATATTTAAAGAGAGGCCAGTAATTATAAGAATAGCTCCATCTTATTTCATTATCTTTTTATAAGAAAGATGTATTAACAGGGAAAGGGTGCTGGGGATTGAACCCAGGGGTGCTTTACCACTGGGCTACATCTCTAGTCCTTTATATTTTTTGTTTGTGAGACAGGGTCTTGGTAAGTTACTGAGTCTAGCTTCAAATTTGCAATCCTCCTTTTTCAACCTCCTCAGTCACCGGAATTATAGGCATGCACCACTGTGCCCCTCAAGATGTATTAATTTTCATCACCGTGCCCAACAAGATATATTAATTTTAAAATCAAATAATACAATAAAGCTACTCTTTTTCCAAAACACAGAGAAAACAATGGCATCCACATTCAGAGTGGCATGGCAATCACCATCAGATGTGTCAGAGTGCTCTGCTCATCTCCAAAGTACAACAACTTTAAAAAGTGCATCAAAATGTCATTATACACAGGCTCTCTTCTAAATGAGGAACGAGCCTGCCATGCCTCAAACTGCTCTTTGATCTCTGCCTAGTTGGCCTTGAACACAAAGTTATGACCCTTCCTCCTCCTGGCATCWTTCTTCCTTTACTTCAGAAATACTGATGCAAATGCATCAGGCCCTGTGGCTGGCACAGCAAATTTGAACCTGAATATAAATCCCTTTCCATCTGATACTCTTATTATACCTTTGCACAGGGCATGAAACTTAGAAGATATGTTATTTCTCAGCATGAGTGCTGGCACAGTCTTCTATGGAATAAGAATGTAGAGTTGTTAAATAACTAAGTTACATGTTAAATATAATAAAAACATTTTGAAGGAAACTTTTAAAAAATGCTAGCTTGCTGAAATAATTTCATTAATGTTGAATAACTAACTAAATCCCTAAACTTTCATTGAGTCAGAATGTGAAATGCAGGCAATATTGGTAATTAATCAAAAATTATTATTGCAAAAAAAGTACTTTTTATTATGGATGGTCCCCAACTTAAAATGGTTCAGCTTACAGTTTTTTAACTGTACAATGGTGCAGAAGTAATACACGTTCAGTAGAAACCAACCTTCAAATTTTGAATTTTGATCACTTCCTGGGCTACAGAGAGGGAATACCATGCTCTCTAGGGACAAGGATACCGAGCAATGGGAGAGAGCAGCGGATCCCAGTCAATCATGGGACCACCATAATTCACAACCCTCTGCAATGTGCTGTGTTGCCAGCATGTGTGTGCGCATGTGGCRGCGAGGGTTACGCCTATTCAATAAACTACACGAGGCATCCATAGGCCCCTTCCTCAACATTCCTCATCTTGGGCCCAGAGCAAAGGTGCCAGTCATCTATGGACTAAGATATCTGAAACTGTGAGCCCGAAATAAGTGTTCCCCGTTAAAGTTGATCTTGTCAAGTATTTTGGTCACAAGTAGTGTAAAAGCTAATTAAACATTGCAGAAATGGTCACCTCTGCCATATTACAAAAGCAGCCATCCATCCTGTTTGTTGCATACTTTGAATTGTGAGAAATGAGTATCCACAGAGAGTTCACCAGAGTCATTTCTAGACATCTTTAGAAAATCATGCCTGCCTTCCATCATCCCACAGATTAATTTTGTGGACGTCAGGAAAGATGTATGAAAGAGGACCTCAGAACACTTTCAAACTATGAGTATCTGTGTCCACAGCATCTGAGGTCTCCCAGGTGGCAGCTCATAAATCTACTTTTTTTCATTCTCCACCTAAAACACATATTAAATCTATCCATGTCAAATTCCAAATTATTATAGATCATAGTTCCCACATCCCCCTCCTCTTTCCAGGCTAAACACACACACTGAAGAAAAAAAGAAAAGCAAAAKAAGGTTCTGACTTATTTCRCACACAAACCTAGAAGCAAATCTACCATCGACCTGTTTGGAGGAATGGGGCTGGGGGAGCTTCATGAATTACATAACCCTGTTGATATCTGAACCACACCTTTTGTAGCTGAGTAAAGGGCAATAAATTGCAAATAGATTATAGAATTTCCAATTATTGTGCAGATCTGAGACTCTCCCAGCCAGACTGAGGTAGAAACATGCATCCTTGATATGGCTATGTGTCAAGCAATGACAATGAATTTAACAGAAGTGGCAGCAAGTAGATGGTCCTCAAGTCTTCTGCACATCAAGATTCAACAGTTTTATTTGTTAATTTTTCTGGTTATAAAATCAATAATCACTATAACAAAAAACAGAAATCAAGAGAAATTTTAAAAAACACAGTTTAAAAAATCGTCTCTCACAATTCTACCTACCTAAAATACCTGTTGCATTAAAACTATTGTGTGGGGAGGGTGGGGGTGGGAGAGACAAAGTCTATTTACACTGATAGAAAAATGTCCTGTTTTTTAACTTAACTGGAATTAATGTACAGCTTTTCTTTTACCATCATTTTTCTAGCATTTGTCAGATATGTTAACTGTTTTTTTAACRAAAGTAATGCATTTCAACAGATAAATTACAGAATACACAGGAAATGAAAGTAGAAAATCAAATTCCTTCTTCCAAGAAGAAAACTACCTACCATCCCCTCCTGTGTGCACTTTCAGAAATGTTCAGTGTATAAACAGGAGGTGCCTTTCTCTGTGTGTGCGTGTATGCATATGTATTTGGTATGAGGATTAAACCCAATGGCACTTAAAAACTAAGCCATATCCCTAGCCTTTTTAAATTTTTATTTTGAGACAGTATCTGGCTCAGAGCCTAAGTTGCTGAGGCTGGCTTTGAACTTGCAATCCTCCTGCATGAGCCTCCCGAGCTGCTGGGATTACAGGCATGAACCACTGTGTTTGGCTCTCTGCATATTTTCACTTTCTTGCTATCAGAATCTTAATCCATACATAGCAAACCTTTGCATTTTATTCTCCACTTAACATCAAGCCATAGGTTGTCACACTAAAAGGARCAGCTACTTATTGTTTCATACAATTTTCCAAATGACAGCTTCATCTCAATTTTCAATAACACAGTACTGCCCTATGTAAGTGAACTGGAGCTTACATAACCCTGGTATTAGAAAGTTTGCTTTTGATTTTATCTTATGTGCAAACAATTTTACAGTGGATGTCCTCTTCACATTTGTACAAATATGTCTGTAGGACACATTTCTTAAAGTAAAATTCCCCAAAATAAAAAGGAGATACCTAAAATTTTATATATTTTGTCAGAGCAAAGTTTGTCTGGCTTTTTGAATTACATCAATTTACACTTCAAGAAAGAACACATTACTAGACACTTTTCCCCATGATGGGTATTTCAAAATTTTTATCTGTGCCAACCTACTAAGTAAAATGTTCTTACTTATTATTCCAGTTTGCATTTCTTTATTTGCCATATTGAAAGTCTTTTATTATTTATTATTCTTGGGCTGAAGGTCTCTATCTGTTACCTATTTTTCTATCAGGTAATATTACCTTTTCTTACAGATTTATAAAAACAATGTATTTTAAAAACAGACTTTGTCTTTTGTATAGCTTGCATATTTTTGCAAATTCTCATCTATTTTGATTCTATGATGATATAATCTTAAAAGTTGTAGATGCCATATAGTCAATTTCATCAGTCTTTGGCTACTTACTTATTCCCACGGTTATTCAGATAGACAGGCAGTCCAGTCAGCAACTGACAGGCAACAGTTAGTCGTGAGTAATGGGACCATGAGATTAAGGGAGTAATTCTATAAAATGGATTACTGTGCTGACCCCCACATGCTTTCTTTTACCAAGTAATTTACCTGTAACCCTACCTGGCTTAAGTCAAAAGGATGTTATATTCCTCAGTAAGAGACCTATTATCTGCAGGAGAAATGCAAGCCCAAAATGCATAGGGGAAGACCACAAGTTATCTGGGGGAAATTTTTTTTCACAGACCAGATCCTAGAACTCAGGGAGATGAGGCAAATTTCACTTAATTATAAAATCTGTAAGAACCAGTCAGCAAGGGCCAAGGTGACCTAGACTTGCCCTGAACCCTTGCTATGTGCAGTGGGGACGTGGAAATCTGATGCCATCCTGCTGTSGGTCAAAAGTCTAGAGGTGGGCCTGGGAAAGATTCTGGAAACTTCCATGAGACCTATAATAGAGCTGCAGGGCAGGGAGGGACACACCTCCCTTCTAAGAAGACCTACTCTCTCCCTTGAGAGAGTGCCCTCTTCCATCCCTTCTGATAAACTCACTACTCTACTCTGGGTGGCACGTCTGCAGTCCTTCTGGTGTGATGGCAACAACTGGTGAGAAAGGGGCTGCCTCAGCTCTGCTATGGGTACTGCAACACAACCACACAGCACTGTGGCTGGCTTTGTTATCTTTGCTACCAGTCCCTCTCAGGCCACTATGAGCTCCAGAAGAACAGGCACCCTACCCTAGCTACCACTGTCCCTCAATGCCTGGGTCAGGGCCCCTCCCATGGCGAACAATCAATTCATCTTTGAGAAATGGATGRAGGTTCTATTATAATCTGAAAGTCTGGGTCCCCCACCCCAAGATTCATATGCTGAAATCCTACCCCCCAGGTGATGGCCTTAGGAGGTGGGGGCTGTGAGAGGAGATTTAGGTCTTAAGAACAGAGACTGCAGAAACGCAACTAAATGCCCTTGTAAAAAGAGACCCTAGAGACACCCTCTCCCCTTCCACCACAGAATATGCTGGAGCCTTGAGCCTGGATTTCCCAGCTTCTAGGATAATGAGAAACAAACATCTGTGATTATAAGCCACTGATTTTATGGTCTTTTTATAGAAACCCAAATAGAACAAGACATTCTATCAACACCAAGAGATTCATCAGATGCCAAGTCCATGTGCCGCCCCCCACTTGTTAGCCTCTGTTATAAAAAGACGTCCCACCAGGACACCACACAAGGAATTAAGATGCTTGAGAAAGCAGGTAGAAGGGAAAAGGAAATTTTCTGGAGAATTTAAATAAACAAACACCCAGAATTACCTAAAAGAAACAGGTGTGGAGTGGGCAATGAACAGAAACTCCYGAGTGTAGCAAAGTGCAAATGTAAAGGTCAAATGTATTTGCATACTAGGGCATTTTCATTTGGGGTAAGTATACCTAGAATTGATTTCTTGTCCCATATAAAAAAATAGTTTAAAAGTAAAAAATATCCATGTGCCTGAAATCACTGTGTTCTCAGTGACATGTGACATACATGGTTATTATACCATTAACTTCCTTTAAGGAAAATTTCTGGGAATTCTAACTATGTCAATATGAAGTAACAGCACCATCAAATCTTTCTTAATTAAATGAGATGTAAACAATTAAGGGAATAGACATATATTTAATAAATATTCAAATTTCTTTGATACAGAGTAACACCAGACATGCTGGAGGTGTGATTCTGAATTGGAAGAAAGGACTGGGAGGACCCCTGGCAAAGAAACCAGACAGTGGGCAAGGGAGGAAGGACAAGATGAGGCTGGGAACAAGGCAGAGTGCTCTAGAGGCCAGGCTTAGAGGCAGGCAGGCAGCGTCAGCAGCTGTGGACTTTCGGTAGGAAGAGCATGAGCCTCCCTGCAGTCTGAAATGAAGACTGACGGGGAGGAGGCAGAGACAGCATCCAGAAATCTTACAGGATCTAGATCAAAATCACTCAAGTCTCAAATACAGTCTGACCTCCATATCCAATGGGAACAAAACCACAGGAACAAAAACCCAGGCCCACCTCTAAAAATGGCTTTGCTTTTTTACATTATCTATAAATGCCTTCCTGCAGAATTTAAATCATGGCTGAGTTACTTATAATGCCTAACACAATCAGAATACCATATAAATAGTTGTTCTGCTGTATCATTTAGGGTACAGTATAGATGCCAAGCTTCTGAATAGTTTTAGTCCATGTCCAATTGAATCCACAGAGGCAGATCCCATAGTTGTGGTGAGCTGACTGTATTTAGAGTATCAGATCATGTGTGTGAGATGGAAATGGTATCTTCAGAGAACATGTGGGATTATAGAGTATAAAAGTGTCAGAATGGAGACAACTATATAGAACGCTGTACTTCCTACAGGAGGCTGACCACCTCAGAAGGCAGAGTGGAGACATGGTGGAGGGATGAGTGCCAGTTACATGAGCCCATAAGGCCCCTCTGTTGCTTAAGGCAGTTAGGGTTTGGAGACTCAGCTACTCAGGACTGAACACATCCCAAGACACACCATCCCGCCTGCAACTTCTCCTTCTCTTTGACTTAGCCATTTTAAAATCACCTCTCTAGCCAGGGTCCCATGAAAGCAAATCACAAAACTAGTCACAGTGAGGAGCTGTGCTCATGTCCCAGCCCCAGCACTTGGAGTACATTAATGCTACTTCTACAGACTCTACGATGATCACACTTAGTCCCAGGGAACGCTGTGGAGGTTTGAAGGTGAAGTGTGGGGTTTGCCAGAATGGACTTTTCTATGACCACATGAAAATCATCATAATTCCTTCTGCTCAAGTTCATGGTTCATGGACACATGACCTGCTGAGGGGCCAACAGAGACTGCAGGGACTAGTTGAGAGGAAAAGAAAAGATGTGTATTACCTCAGTTTACCCACAACCTTTTCTCTGCACATGACCCACTCTACCCTTAGACACAAGTGACACACCTCTTCATAAAGCACCTCCTTTGAGGAATTCATCTGGTATCACAAGAGGTTAAGTTACACTGTGCAGATAAAAAAACAAAAACAAAAATACCCACTCCAGCCTGTCCCTCATTCAGAAATTCAGTGCTATAACTTCTGCACTTAAGAGAAAAACACACTTTTAGTATTTTGACACCACAAAATCCTTATCCTAATGATTCTGTGGGTAAAATAATGAATCCAGATGGCTGTAAACCTTCAGTGTCCTTGATTTTGCTCGCACAAATCCAACCAAATGTCGAATAAGCACAAGAGTTTTATTTGCTAAATTGTATTGCGACTCTATGATGTTTAATGAAGTTCAGTTACATTACAAAGAATTTTCAAATATTTTGAGTGCTCTACATTCTTCATACTAAAAATGCCTTATTCTGTTCCATGATCCAGCACACCTTCCTATTCCACCAGAACCCATTGATTTCATCAATGCTCATTTGCTGAATATCCACTCCATGCCAGATGCTAAGTTAGATGACAGAGTTGCAAAATCTAGAAAGGGCTGTTCTTGCCTTTGAAACCAGGACCGTACAACTAATTGAGAAATGTGGTAGGTATAGATGAATACCGTTATGATTTGGATGTGAGATGTCCCACAAAAGCTCACTTGTGAGACAATGCAAGAAGATTCAAAGGAGAAATGATGGGGTTGTAAGAGTCTTAACCCAACCAGTGATTTAATCCTCTGATAGGGATTAACTGAGTGGTAACTAAAGTGGTACGGTGTGGCTGAAGGAGGTGGGAACTGGGATGTGGCTTTGGGTATATATTTGTATCTGGCTAGTGGAGTCTTTCTCTGCTTTCTGGTCACAATGTGAGCTGCTTCCCTCTACCACACTCTCCTGCCATGATATTCAGCCTTGAGGAATGGAACCCSCCTTCAATGGACTAAGACCTCAGAAACTGTGAGCCCTCAAATAAACCTATTCTCCTCTGTAATTATGCTGGTTGGGTCATTCAATTATAGCAGCAAAAAAGCTGACTAAAACAAATGCCCTCTACCAAGACAGCCACTTACTCACTTGCAAACAGGATAAAATCTAAGGCCCCTCTCAGTTCTGTGTAAGAGATAAACAGAAGCAACTGCAATAGTTCAGGCCTATAATAACAAAGGCCTGTGTGTCCAATGGTCCAACAAGAACATGGCAGAAACCACCCCCAGCAGTACTTGACGTAGGTTGAACACACTTAGAAACTGAGAAAAGCAGATCAGCAAGGGAAGGAGATTAGAGCAGATCCCTGACATAAAGGGGCTGCAAGAAGAGGGAGGCTTGTGACACTAACTCTAAAACAAAAGTGAATTTTTTAATCCATATCCACATGGAGACCCCTCACCTCCACAAACCAGAGGATGGACAGCCTCTGCCTTTGCCCAAGCCAATCTGTTACTCCAGCTATTCTGCCCACTCAGATTTAGATAGTTAACATTATCAGTTACTGGTAAATACTTAGTCCTGATCAGCAACATGTTATAAAACTGCTTTAACTATTTGTGACCTTGTTAAACAGACTAACTCAGTTGCCCTAAGAACTCCAAGGTCCTTACCCAGCAACTCATATAGAGAGTTCAGGATGGATTTCCAGGATTCCCCAGCTTCTCGCCCAGCGACGTCGGCAAAGTGTGCGGCACTGCTATAGACGTGCAGTCGGTCGATGCACTCCAGAACAAGGCTGATCATTCCCTGGAGGATAAAGAATCCCCATCAGAAACCATCTGTGTATAGACAGAAAACGCTAAACCAACTTAAGAAAGAAGTCTGGCTCAAAGTGTATTTGTTAATCATGAAGAAAATTGAGATATCTTATTTAAAGGACAGGAAGAAACACATTTGCACAGGAAATGAAATGTTCTTCAAATGATTCAAGTGATTTTAAATCCCAAGTGCCATTTTCAAATAGGAATGGAAGAATAGCATAAAAATACTTCTCAATTGCATTTGCACAGCTTAATGCTAGACTAAATGACTCCTTCATAAATGGTAGGGTATTGCTAAGTAAGCATCAGAGCAGATCCTTGTTCTTAGGCATTACTATAACTACTGAATTAAAGTTAAAGAAAGCTCATGCAAAGATTTTTAAGAAATCATGAAGAGGTTAATCATTWTGTAGGAGACTGGAGATGGTGGGCAGCTGCTTTTCCACTCCCTCGGTGGCTTGGGGTTCAAGCATCAGGGCTGCTGCTTCCCAGTGATATGGGTGAAAGGAGGAATTCCCTGAAATTGTAGCAGCACAGAGAGTGTTTGAGAGACTCAGAAATTTGGRTTCACTGACCAAAGAACAAGAGAGAGTATGTAGGAGCCAGGCTGGCTGTGGCAGCAGCAGCAGCAGTGCTGATCCACCAGAGAGGGGAGGGAAAGAAACACAAYTGACAGAGAAACCTGTATATGAGAGAGGCAGCCTGAACCTAAATGATCCAGAGGCTGCACCCTGAACTTATGTTTGACAAGTGCTCTTGCCAAGGAGAGCTGAGGTGGAGCCATCCAGAGGCCATCTCATCCAGCTGCTGCTGCAGAATCAGGAGGTCACAGCCAATACTGCCTCAAAATCCCAGCAGGCTCCTGCCATGGGGCCCAGGGTGTACCTAGCAGAACATTATTAAAATACGCACAGAGAAGACTGTACCCAGGGGGATTCAAGTCAGAAATGCAGAGAGGAGCCCAACTTGGCTTCTCCTTCTAGTCTTGTGGCTCATGTGACCAGCAGAGGTAGGTCAGGAATCTGAAGCAGGTGTAGACACACTCTGGGAATAAGTTGGGAAGGCTGTGTTGGTGGGCAGCAGAGGGGATGGAGGATTGGCTCCCCTGTTCCAACTTCTGGATCCCCCCCCCCAAGAATCCCTGGGAGGATCCTGAGATCCAGACTCCAGCAGGGGTCAGCAACTGCGAGGCCCTAGGGTGTGCTGGCCCAGTCTCCCCCAGCAGACACCACCCAGCAAGGCCCTGAGGCCTGATAAGACCTAAGCCCACTCATGGAACTCCCTTCAGAGAACTCTGCAGCAGGCCCACCCGGGAGTACAGGGAGATGGTCTGTGMAGACAGAACTCCAAAGGACAGACCTCCCTCTCCATCTTACCTATACTGGTGAGAAGGGAGGCTGAGAGCATCTCCACCAGCCTCAGTCCTAGACCACTCCAGCTGGCAGCTCCACAAGCAATGCAAGAGAAGGAAGGGGCAATTCTAAGGAGTACAGAGCCCATGGAGCAATGGAAAGAACCCCCCTCAGGCATAGGCATTGATAATCCATATTTCCTGGACAGTTCTGACTACCTAGTAGAGACAATTCATTCATTTTTTATTAAGCATCTTCTTTCCTTCCTTTTTTTTTCTTGGTGTTCCTGCTGTGCTGATCAGTTCTTAGCATACACACACACACACACACACACACACACACACACACACATTCTTTTTTATCATCTTTAGCATTTTTAATGCAGTTACTTTTCCTTGCCTTATTATTTGAGAGTTATAACATTTTGTTTTGCTTCTTATTCTTTCTCTTCTTCCTTCTCCCACTAACAGCTAAATCCCCTTGTTCTCTTTATTACCATTTTTGGTTTTGCTATTTTTTTTCCTCCATCTTTTTTTTTTCTTTTTTGGGTACTGAGGATTGAACTCAGGGGCACCCAACTACTGAGCCACATCCCCCGCCAGATTTTGAATTTTATTTAGAGACAGAGTCTCCCTGAGTTGCTTAGTACCTCACCATTGCTGTCTCAGCCTCCAAAGCCTCTGGGATTATACTGCACCCAACTTCTCCTCTATCTTGATAATCTTCACTTGCTACATTCTTCTGCATTCTCTTGGTTCACATTTTGGAAAATTCTAGGTTTTTTTTTTTTTTTTTACATTCCTATTACATTTTCTTTTTCTCTTAATGAACTGTGTTTTCACCATCTTTTAGAACTATTTGGTCCATATAACTGCTGCCTCCACCATTCATGCTGTTGTAGTTATTAACTATATGGATGGTTTCGTTGACACCTGCTGCTTACTATAATGCCAGTTCTTGTTCACAACTATGTATTGTTTTTGCTGTTGGCAAGTGTTGACCCCATCATTCCTGTGTTTGGGTGACTAGTGTTGTAGATGTCATAGTAAACACAGGGTATTTATTTTAATGCTGTATAATAGTTTTGCTTCAATTTTTATTTTTTGGTTTTTACCTTTTCTGTAAAGTGCTGGGAATCTATAAGGAAACTACAAGTTCACAGGGAATAAACTCTGCTACTGAACTAAACTCAACCAAGAGACAGCGCACCTTGATCTACACCCAAATTAACTATACTCAAACTTCAACAACACTTTATTACAAATAATAGAAAAGTCAAAACCCTCAAATGAATGATTAAGTTCCAAGTAGGATKAGTTGGTGGGACTCCTCAGTTTCCACTCATGGACATTCATTTTTACAGCAAAAACAAAGAAAAGACACTTTGACAAGATAAGGTCATCCCCTAAAAAGACCCACACGTAATAGGGGAAGAGAAATCAATTCTAAAACATACATAAAATTCAACCCAGGAATTCAAAAAATATGAATAAACAAAGTAACACATTATCTTCTCAGTTTATAATTCACCAGCAAATGACTACCAATGATATTGAAGTGGATGAAATATCATAAAGAATTCAAAGGAATGGTTATAAAAAATGATCAGTGAACTTCAAAAGAACACAAATAAGAACCAAAAAATTAGCAAGTTAATAAAGTGATAAATTCAATAAGGAGCTACACATATTGTAAAACAAACACAAACAAACAAAAATCTTGGAAATGAAAGAAACAATAAATCAAATAAAATGTTCATTTGCCTCCCTGTTAGAGTAGACCATGCTGAAAACAGAATCTCAGAGCTCAAAGACAAAGTGCCAGCCTTAAACATTTAGACAGTATAACAGGAAGGAAAATAAGTAAACATGATAGGGAATATACAAGAACTCTGGAACAACGTTAAGAGACCAAATTTGAGAATCATCAGAATTAAAGCGGGTTATGAGATATAGTGAATGGCATGGATAACCTCTTTAGTTAAATAATAACAGAAAAATTTCAAACCTTGACAATGAGATGGACATCCAAATACAGAACCCCAAACAGTCAAGATTAAACAACAAAAAATTCTCCATAATGTATTATAATTAAAATGCCTAAAATAAAGAGAAAGAATAGAATTTTAGAAGCCTCAAGCAAAAAAGTCAGGTGACATTTAGAGGCAAGTCAATTAGAATTATTTCCAATTTCTCATAAACTCTAAAATTCTGGAATGCTTAGAATGATGTGTCCCATGACCTGAAAGAAAAKAACTGTTAAACAAGATTGCTATATCCAGAAAACTATCCCTCAGAATCAAAAAAGAAATAAAGACCTTCTAAGATAAGCAAAAACAAAGTATTCATGACTACTAAGTCAGCACTGCAGAAAATACTTACAGAAATATTCCACATAGCAGGAATAAAAAACTAACTCTAGAGCTCACAAATGAATAAATCTCATTGGAAGAGTAGTTAAGGAAATGAGAAACAGGACAAAATTAAGCATAAGAAATAAATCAAAATGGCAAAAATTAATAAACATCTCTCTGTAATAATATTGGATATAAATGGTCTCAACTCTCCAGTAAAAGATATAGGCTGGTAGGATGGATTATAAAACAAGACATAACTATATGCTATTTGCAAGACACACCCCTTACAGGCAAAGACAGCCACAGGCTGAAAGTGAAAGGATGGAATAACATGTGAAGAGAGTCTGAACACCAGCAGAACTAGCCATTTTCATATCCAGTAAAACAGAATTCAAGTGAAACTTAATTAGAAAGTATCAGGAAAGTCATTTCATACTGGTAAAGGAACCAAACAGAAATCTTAGAAATGAAAGACACATTGGAGAAAAGATGGCCTTTAAAACAAATGCTTCTGGGAAAGCCGGTCATCCACACATAGAAAAATGAGACTAGATGCTTCTCTCTCACTCTGCATAAAAGTCAACTCAAAATGGATCAAAGACCTCAGAATTGAACCAGAAATTGCGGAACTCCTGGAAGAAAATGTAGTATCAACACTCCAACATATAAGAAGAGGCAAAGATTTTCTCAACAGGGCCTCTAAAGCTCAGGAAATACATTAATAAATTAGATGGCATCAAATTAAAGATTCTGCAAAGCAAATGCAAATTAAGAATAGGAAAAGAAAGCCTACTGAAAGATCTTTGCCACCTGTTCTTTAGACAGGGGATTAATACTTAGAACATATTAAGAATTCAAAAAACTTATAAAAACAAATTAATAAACATAAGACAATTAATAAATATAAAAAGAACTAAGTTTTCTCAAAAAAAGAAAAAGGGTCAACAAATATATGAAAAAATGTTCAGCATCATTAACAATTTGGGACACGCAAATCAAAACTACACTGATATTTAATCTCACTCTAGTTAGAATAGCAGTCGCAAAAATACAAATAATAAAATGCTGGAGAGGTTGTGGAGAAAAATAACATGCTTCCCTGTGCATGTTGATACTGTTGGCCTGATTGTAAATTAGTATAACGCCATGGAAATCAGTATAGAGGTTTGTCAAAAGACTAGGAACAGAATCACCTATGACCCAGCTATACCACCTCTTGGTATTTACCCTAAAAATTCAGAGTTGGCACACTATAGCAAACCCATGTTTATAGCAGCACAAATCATAATAGCCAAAACAGGGAACCAGCCTATGTGTTCATTAATGGATGAATGGATTAAGAAAATGTGATACACACACACACTACACACACACACAATGTAGTTTTATTTATCCATAAAGAAAAATTAAAGTAAGTCATTAGCAGGAAAATGGATGAAACTTGAGAAAATTATGTTAAGTGAAATCAGTCAAAGTCATAAAGCCAAGATTAGTATGTTTTCTCTCACATGTGAGTGAAAGAGGAAAAAGGAAAAGAAAGATGGGGGTGATCTTATTAATATCAAAGGGAGATTGGTAGAGTAGAAGATACAAACCAGGGCAGGGAAGAGGGGAGGGAAAGGGGAATACTGTGGAGTAATACTGGCCAAATTGTATTATTTTATCATGTGAATATGTAACAAATCCCACCATTAAGTAAAACTATAATGCACCAATAAAAAAAGATAAAACAGACCATAAAAATTTCATTATACAATTCCATAAGAAGCAACCTAAATTTAAAAATATGCTTTTATTATTATTCCTAGATCAAGGTTTTCAAAATGAGGTGAAGCACATGAAAGGAAAAGCTATAAAGAAATGACTAATTAAATTAACTTGATTTCATGCAGAGAGTTTAAGAGGTGCCACAGATCTAAAAACATTTCTAGGTCCTATGCAGACTGTCTTATATGAGAAACTGAAGAAGGAAAACAAAAATCACCTAATTAAAGCTGAGGTCAATAATATTTAAATCAACATTTAAAATTTAGGTTCAATTCTTTCAGAAAGTGAATAAACAGTGCAATAACTTGGCATATAAAGTTAAATGCTCCAATATATCACTCCACAGAGGTGGGGGTGATCTTAGTTTGTGTTGACATTTTTTTTTTCTTTCATACTAAAGTGGTCTCTGTTACATTATTTCTTTCTTACATGTAGTAGGAAAAAAATCTCAAAACCTCATGTCACTTTCAAATGTCAGAAAACTGCTTTCTAACTCAAAAACAGCTTTAGGGATTATGGGCACTCAGCAAAGTCCTCTAATCTTTTTTCTAGGATACTTTTGCAAACATTTTTTTTTGTCATAGAAAAAAGGACTGTTCCTCTTCCAGGAACATGGAGAACAACCGCCAGCATCGCTGACCTCCAGGTATTCCTGTCAACCCTGAAAGCCTCCCTGGAAGCTCTGGAATGTGAGGTACAGCTTGACACAACATCGGGATATTCGCCCTATCACTCACTTGGTCCTGTTATTCTGTTTATAAAGTATGGTTCACCAACTCTTCAGCAGTGGAAGTTCGGTGAAATAAAATCAGACATAGAAATTTAATTTATGCCTGTCGAAACAAAAAAGTTTGGGGTGCCTATTCCTACAGGGAGCCCAGAACTCCGCCTCCTCCTGGGGGCAGTCTCAGTGCAGGTTCCCTCTGCACACAGAGCTCTTGTGGTTCTGACGCATCACTTGCAAGAAGCCCCAGGCCCCTGCAGAGGCCCTTGATGCTTTCCAATGCCTTTATTTTGATTAAGGTTCTATATTTATGTAACCGACATGAAGCAAACCACAGTGATCACAACTGGCTAGTTGAGGGCTTAGATAATGGTACATGTCCCTTCCCAGGGGAGTGGCAAGTTTCATCCTGTAAAATTAACACTTACTGACAGAGAAATAAAAGTATGACCATGTACCTCTCAGATGTGCTTCTCTGTGCATTAGCATACCTGCTGCCCTCCACCTCAAAGTGGAAAGATACAGAATTCAAGGAGAATTTTCCCCACCAAGAAGTTGTCTTCCCAAGAAAACAAAGAAGAAGAAATGGGCAGGCTCACCTCTTCCTGGAAGAGGTTCTGCCGATTCTTCAGGGCACGCAGCCTGTTCTGCTTGTCCTCATGCTCCAAGTGCTCATCAGGAGGATGGAAGTAGCCAATGAGGTCCTGCAGACTCAGGCTCACAGACTCGATGGGTAGGTCGACCACAGGAGCCTTCGCTTTCTTGCTGAGAGCATCCAGGCCCCTGAAATCACAGCAAATATCTGTCACTGACCCGGGATTTTAAGTTACTGTCTTTTGACAGATAAATTCACAGAGTTACTCACTCCCTCCATCACTGTGAAAGGCATATGGAAGGAAAGGTCTCCTGCCCTCCAGCAGCAGGATAAACACATCCATTAGCAACCCCACCTAAAGCCTCTCACCTAAAGGCACAGGACCAAAGCCGACAGAACTAGTAGTCAAAATATTTAGAAACCAACAGACTTCATTTTAAAGTACCATGTACTTTAAGGCTTGAAGCCACATCTTCCAGATTCATAATCCTAACATTTGCTTGTTGTTTGTTTATTTTTGAAGAGGAATTCTTTCAAGTACTGTGGTCACTGACACCAGTTTCTATACTGTTTAATTCCTAGCAGTCAAAAAAAAAATATATTCTATTGATGTCAATTCAAAAAAATCTGCATATTACCAGTTGGTAAATAACATATTAAAGTGCTTTTGTATTATCTAAAAGAAATGCTTTTAAATGCTTTCAAATCTGAAGATTAGATTAAGAAAGAAGACTAAGGTGTATTTTCTCACCTTTGAAGCAAAACACTAGTGGATAGGAATGTGATTGTTGAGTTTACTGAGATTCTCAGTTTTAAAGCTCACAGCTTTGAATGTGTCTGGAAAGCATGTTAAAACATGATGCTTTTAAATCAAAATTATTCCAAGGTAAAATGTTTGTTTAAAACACACACACACACACACACACAAAAAAAACCCAGATACCATGAAAAAAAAAAATCAGAGACTAGCACTTCTCTAGTAGATTCAGTGATACTCATCAGTATCACTGAATAGTCATAACAAAATGCAATGTGCAAAAATACTCCAAGTCTTGCTCTCTGCATCAACAAAATTGTCTGGCAATATTTTCCTGCAAAGAAATATTTGTGATTAAATTTTTCTAATGACATCAAAACATATATTAGAAATAAAAGGCTTATTAATAAGAATTAGCTTTGAACTTTATAATGCTCAAAACATTTAAAAAGTATCATTTAAATGAAAATAAGTTATCATTTTGGAATACTGAACTTCTCCTTTATTAGTCAGTAAAAATAATAAAACTGCAACTATTCTAAAGTTGTTGAGTGAAATCCCATATTAATTTTGTCAACAGAATTTATCTACTCCCAGTTTCATCATTTTCATAATTTTTCTATTTATTACAAGAAGTACCATATAGAATAATCCAATTAATAAAATACAAACAAGGGATACAATATTAACATGACACTTACCCCATCTCTTAAGTCTCTAAGCCTTACTCTATCTGATGAAGTTTAAAGTTTAAATGAGGCAAAGAAATGAAATAAACACTAGGGATACTCTGAGGCTGCATGCTATGCACATTCTTCAGTCATACAAATGCCTTCCCCGCCATACACACACGTGGGATGATTTATAAAAGAAGAAGATAATGATTAAGAAAATAGTAATATAATACCGGGCAGGAAAGATCTTACATTGGAAAGTCAAAAATGGTTGATTAATTTAGCTATGATGAGAAAAGACTTTAAAATTCTTTCCCAAAGTAATACATTGTAGGAAGTATTTGCAAGTTATATAAGAAATAGCCTCATAGAAACATTAATAACAGAATCAACAAAAGGAGAAATATAATCAATAACATAAAATATATCCATTCCCAAAATTTACAAGAGCAAATTTTAAAAAACAAGATACATGTACAAATTTGTAAGAATGTATACCTTGCTAACAGCTTCATTATATTGCTTTATCTGTATATATAAAATCTGCATATTTTAAGAAAATTTTCCTCTCATCAAATATGCAAATTTAAAGAGAGATGATATCCGTCCTGTACAGGTCAYGTGGTGAACTGATATACTGTTAGCAGAAAACACTTTGAAAACACTTTGGCCACGTTTGATTGAGTGTGTGGACATGAAACTGTTTCAATCATTAGGTGAAAAAATCAGTTATTACAAGGACCACTATTTTTTAATGTAGTTCGAAACTCATCCAACATCTAGGCTTCATTATTTCCTCTGTCAAAGGGAATTAAGTCAGTCTAGTACAAACACAAGTTGCAGAGTAATCCCTACCTGTAGCTCTCAATTACAAATTACTTGCACAACTTCTAAAAACATGTCCTTTATCCTTCATTGAAAAAAGAAACATAGGATTGTCTAGAGCATTTTATATTGTGTTCTGCTGACATTTACATTTTGGACTTGCGTATTGTAAACCCAGAAAGAAGATGAAAACAAACATCAAATCACCACGACAACAAAAGCAAAAGTACCTTATGAATCTATTGAAAAGGAAGACAGTGCTCCGGATGACTCGGGCTGTTCGTGATTCTTCGTGCTGAGATCTGGACAAGTTTAAACCATCGTCCATGTGGCCTTCGTGGTGCATAATAGCCTGTAAGAAAGCAGAAGTGATGCCCTTATTCCAGATGTCCCCCTCCCAAGCCAGCATGAAGATGATGTGCTCCAAAATTGCTGAGCAGTAACAGCAAACAGAATTAAGAAATAGGTGGAGGCAACCCAATGCTGTCATGTTCAGATTAAATAATACACACAGCTCTCTGTACACACTAGCCTTCAATATATTCATTCAGTTATTATTTTACAGAATGAGTCAATAAATATTGAGCTGAATGAAACAGCAGGGCATTTTCATATATCTAAAATTCAACAAATGATCTCTGGCCTCAGCAAACTGTGAACAAGAGGCAAAGGGGAGATTACACACTGCATCCCATTCCTGCAGCATCACTGGCTACACAGCAGCTCCCAAGAGGCTGACCAAGCCCTGAGCAATGCTTCCCAAGCCTCGAAGTTCAAAACCCTGTATTTTTATTAGCTTTTCTGTTAGGCTCTCTGTTTTGAACTTTCTATGAAAAGATAACATTAGGAGAGGTAAGTGCAAAAATTCTAAGAGAAAAGCTCAGTTAATTTTACAGAGTGAACACATATGTGTAATCAACGTCCAATCAGCAAGAAAAACACCAGAGCAATTTAAAGGCCCACCCCATGCTCCAAGCTCCCTCCTGCCCCATCTTTGCAGTGCCTGCCACCTTCCAGAATCCACAGCTCGGCTCAGTTGTGCCTGTGTGTGAGCAGAACCACACAGCATGTGTTCCTGAGAGTGKGCCCCATTTCAGGAGACACTTCCAGCCAAGTAGCACATGAACTGAAATTAGTGATTGCAACTAAAATTATGTACTAAAAAGCAAGTAAAGAGGAATTCCCAACACCAAACTCAATGAGATAAAGATGACTTGCCAAATGTCTTCTTTGATATAATGAGAGCAACTATGAACAGAGTAGGGAGGAAGAGCAGGAAGAAAAGATTAACTTTAAACAGAGACATGAGATGGGAGGGAAAGGGAGAGAAAAGGGAAAYTGCATRGAAATGAAGGRAGACCCTCATTGYTATACAAAATTACATATAAGAGGTTRTGAGGGGAATGGGAAAATAAACAAGGAGAGAAATGAATTACAGTAGATGGGGTAGAGAGAGAAGATGTGAGGGAAGGGGAGGGGGGATAGTAGAGGATAGGAAAGGTAGCAGAATACAACAATTACTAATAGGGCATTATGTAAAATTGTGGATGTGTAACCGACGTGATTCTGCAATCTGCATTTGGGGTAAAATTGGGAGTTCATAACCCACTTCAATCTAATGTATGAAATATGATATGTCAAGAGCTTTGTAATGTTGTGAACAACCAATAAAAAATAAATATAAAAAAAATTAAAAAAAAATTAAAATAAATAAAATAAATAAAATTAAAAAAAAAAAAGATGACTTGCAGTCAAAGGCAAGATTATGGCCAGGCTCAATGGTGCACACCTGTAATCCCAGCTACCAAGGAGCCTGAAAACAGCTAGTTGGAGACCTGCTTCAGCAACTTAGTGAGAGACTGTCTCAAAATGAAAAGGAAAAAGAACTAGGGATGAGCTCAGGGGTAGGGTATTTGCCTAGTATGCACCAGGTGTTGGATTTGATCCCTGGCACACAACACGGACACACACAAAACACACAATACACAGACAAGTTTATACCCTTCCATGCCTTCATTAAAAAGGAATTACTAAAATAATAGAGCTCATTACTCATTCTATGACTTTAATAAAAACAAAACCAAATAAAGTGAAAAAGTGGAATTAATGAAGATAAAAAGGGGAATTAATGATCTAGAAATAAAGCACTAGAAAGGATGAATAAGCACAAAATTTGATTCTTTGAGAAGATAAATAAACCTCTCACTAACCAAGCTAAAAATAAAATAGAAAACAAAACAAAAGAAGATGGGAAGTTAATTACAATAATAAAATACTATGTGCAATTCTACAGCAGAGGAAAAAAGATGACAAGTGGGTATTCCAGAGGAAAAAGATGGATTCATGGCAAATGAAGAATAATCAATGTAGTCAGGCAGGGGCGCAGGTACCTGTGGTCCCAACTACCCAGGAGATTGAGGCAGGGGAATGACTTGGGCCAGGGAGCTAAGAGCAACCAGGGCAACATAACATGACTTCTTCTCAAAAAGGAGGAAGACAAAAAGAATCATCAAAAGGATTCTCTCCAACTAAGGTACAAAATTAGACAAGGTGTCTGTAGAAAAAAATTAGAGAGATGATTTGGTTCAATTTCTGAAAGATCTTAGGACTCCATGGTTTCACAAGTGAGTTCTGATAAACCTTCAAAGAACAGACACTTCTGATGGTAGACCTATGTAGACACAGGTTTGGCCAACTACAGCTGAATCATGTGAGAGAAAGAGTGTGAGTGTGAGAGTGTGAGTGTGTGTGTGTGTGTGTGTGTGTGTGTGTGGAGGAGGAGGAGGAGGAGGTGTTTTGGGTAGAAGGGATTGAACCCAAGGGCACTTAACCACTGAGGCACATCCCCCAGACCTTTCTATTTTTTGAGAGTGATGTCCTATGCAATTTAGTGAGACCATAAATTGCTGAAGCTACCTTTAAACTTGTGATTTTCTTGCCTCAGCCTCCTGAGCCACTGGAATTACATGCATATACCACTGTGCCCACCTCAGCATCTGTTTTAATGAAGCCATTTTTACATTTTTAATAGAAGAAAAAAGACCAAAGAAGTATGACACTTCATAACATATGAAAATAGTATGAAACGCCAATGTAATTATCCATAAATAATTTAACTTTCCTTATGAATACATATTCAACAATTCTGAATAAAATAAATATATACAAATCTAGGATTTCAAAATAATAACACTAGTCAAGTACAGCTTATTCTATGTAGAAATTTTTCAAAAATTGGATGTCTATGACTTATTCATCAATGAACTAAAGAACACTAAAATGTCATTTTTTTAAAAAAAATTATTAAGTTGTTGATAGACATTTTATTTATTTATTTATATGTGGTGCTGAGAACCAAACCCAGTGCCTCACACATGCTAGGCAAGTGTGCTACCACTGAGCCACAGCCCTAGCCCTAAAATGTTATTTTTATCTCCTTTAATTGATAAAATTCAGCAATCATTGCTAACTTTTAAAAGCTAAGTAAAATCAGAATAGCAAGAGACTACTTAAATATAAAAATAATGTCAGTTGTTCTATGGATGCAAAACCTGCGACTTATGTGAAACCGGAGTAAAAAGATTGTGCTGGCCAAAGAGGCAGGGGTAATTTGGGAGGGAATGCTGGGCAACTCTCCTGGCAACCATCGGGGAAACAAATCTTCCACATGGAGGAATATGTCTGGTAGCACCAGTGCAGCCATCTGTTAAAATGCTATAGCTAAGCTCTGATGAGAACAGAAAGTTCACCCCTACTAGCTGAAAATGAGGAACAGTCACAAGCTATTATGAAGTGGCAGGAGCCTGGAAGTGTCACAGAAACAAGGAGAGCACTGTTGATAGTGAACAATGGATCGTGCAGGTGCTACTTCTCTGCTTGTTACACTCTTTGCCTTGTGTGTATTTAAATTTTCCAAAAGTCCTACACCAACCAGGTTCAACAGTAGGACCTAAGAAATGCTTCACATACGCTGAATCCCTACAGACAAGTCCATTATTTATGAAGCTAGATCAAAGAACTCAAAAACAAGTGATCATCTCATGGTAATGGTCCTGCAAGGGAACTGAATGAGGACCGACACCCCAAACTCTGAGGGAAAGTTCCCCAGGATTCACGGAGCCAGACCCAGCAACGCAGCTTCAGACTCCCTCCCTTCAGTATGAACACAACAACAGCAAGTGACCTACACTGTTTGTGTGTGTATAGATGGTGATTCATAAATCTACTGAAAATAAAAACGCCTGCCTCACTTAATTCTTTCATTCCAAGGTTTCACATTTCTAGAAATAACACGTCTTGTTATTTGGTTCTACGCAATGTGCTCCAGGTCAAGYAAAAAAAACATGAGCAGTCTACTACCAGGAGCTCTGCTGGGGACTCGCAGATGAGGACACCTCGTGGCCTAGTAAATGCAATGGCAAAAGGAGAGCATATAAAATTTAATAAGTTATATACAAACATTAATGAGAACAGAAAGGAGGGTGTAGTGGATCAGTGAGACGGGGAGAACTTCTAAATGATCTTCACGGTTAACCTTGAGAATGGACAGGAGTTGGGCAGACACAAGTTTCAAAGTACTCCCAACAGCAAAGGGACAGGTATGTAAAAGCCTTGGATTTTTGAGGGACTGCAAGGAGTGCTGCTGTCAGGGATAGTCTGGGAAAACTGAGCGCCACATCTACATATTGGCTAAAGAACAGGGAAATGGGGACAGCCCAAAAAAGTGACTCATGTACCACAGAGGAAAGGTCAGTGMCATACTCAGTAGCAACATGGACAGAGAGTAAAGGGAACTAGGAAGACCACACCAGAATCCAGAATTCAGTGCATCTATTCACTAAATATTTAAAATGCATGAATTCCATAACCCTGTATTGCGTTATATAATTCTATATCAGTATTGTGACTTACACAAAGTAGTTTACCTAAGAAAACCAGACTCTACTGTGATGGGATTTTTTAGGGTTACATGGGCTAAAAACTTACAATTTATTACTATTTCACTTTCTCCACTGTTTGCTCCCATTTTCAAAAATGTGCAGATGGGGTTGTGTGCATTGGCAAGCAGCTTGATGTACAGCCTCTCTTGGCTGTGACACTAAAGCATATGGTGGGATGTGACCTTCAGTATGTAAAGTAATGAACTTTGGCAGGTGGCTGAAAGGGCTCGCTGCCTCTTTTGGACTTGTGTTTGTGTTTCCTGTTCACAGTACAATGATAACTGTTTTCATGCAGTCCTACCTTACGTTGTATGGACCCCATTCTCACGGATTTCACATCCACCGACTGGTAGGTAAGCCACAGGCCCGTGTCCACGTGTTGTATGTAGCATACCGAGTCACCGTATTTTATCTCAGATGTTCCCATGCCATCAACCTCTTTCCTCACCCCCACGTCAAGCTTTTCCTGAGAAGAGACAGAAGAAGTGATCAGCACACATTGAGAGAATACTGCTCTGTATCCACAGGACTTTGCCTTATTATAAATGCTCCTTGAAAAATCCAGCCCTCTGAAGTCCCTGAAAAAATAGCAGTCAAATATTCTTGCAGTTCAAGCTCTATTAAAAATCAAAATGGGAAACCGCAAAAATTAATAACATGTTCTTAAATTGTTCACATTGGTAGAAAATTATTTTGGCTATAACATGAAACTTTATTTTGCTTAACAGCAAATGACAAGGTAGAGACTTAAAATGAGCAACTGAGGCTAATGTTCTTCCTAGGTTTACCCCGACACACATTATTGGTGGCTAACAGCTTAGGTTAAGGGCTGAGAAAATTTAGTTTTGTGTCCAATCTCTGTCACTTATTACCTCTAGGACCTTAACAAGTTAGCTAGAATTTTTAAACCTGTTTWCTTCTCTATAAATAGAATTAAAGTAAATTGCTTAAGGATCAGAACAAAACAAATTAGATAAAACATATACAATTTTTAGCATACAATAAGCAACTTTAATAATCCTTTGACCCAATAGCTAAGCTATGGAACCAASCTAGGGGCCCTTCAACAGATGAATGGATAAAGAAAATGTGATATATATACAAAATGAAATATTATTCAGCCATAAAGAAAAAAATGAGATTATGACATTTGCTGGTAATTGGATGGAACTAGAGACTATCATGCTAAGTGAAATAAGCCAATCCCCGAAAAAACCAAAGACAAAATGTTCTCTCCGATATGTGGATGCTGACTCACAATAGGTGGGGGGAGGGAGGAGTGGAGGTTCACTGGATTGGACAGGGTRGAATGGGGGAAGGGGGTAATGGGACTAGGAAAAGACAGTAGAATGAATCAGACATAACTTGCCCATGTTCATATATGAATATACGACCAGTGAAACTCCACATCGTGTACAACCTAAAAATGGAAAGTTATACTCCACATATGTATGGATATGTCAAATATACTMTACTGTCATGTGTAACTAARAATAAAAAAATTTTTAAACTAAGCTTTCAACCAGGACAATGGTGATGATGATGTTGATGAGATCATTCATGATCTAAAGCTGTCGCTCACTTTTCACAATGCCAAGGTCTTCGTTTGTAAAGGGGCTCATCCTTAGGAACTCAGTCTTAAAGTTCTGCAATGTCCTTAAGACAATGAAAAAGCCTAAYGAACCTCCTTTCGGTGGTTTCTTATCCTTTTTTCATTTGGTCTAACATTCCTTGCTAAATTTGCTTTAAGTTTCTGCTGTGTCTTTGGTTATTTGATTGCTTTTTGAAATTACCTAAATTACGCAAAAGTTTTTCAATTTTAGAGTCAAAATGTGGGCATTATACAACAGAAACAGTTCAAAAAAGTTTGGCAGGTTATTCATATCATTTCTATTCATTAATAATAACAAATGATCCTGAAGTGATTATAAAAACTCCAAATTAAAATTAAAATGAGTTGAAATTATCAAGCAGAAAGGTTAGGGTCATCTAAGAAAATATACAATTATCAATTTAGTTAACTCTGAGAATAATTTGGAACACTATTATAAGGATCTTCAATAAAACAGGTAATAAACCATTCTAATTTCAGTGTATCAAATGAGATGAAGTACTAATCTACTTACACTAACCCTGTCATCAGAAAATTAAATTCTGGAGAAAATATAACAGTATAATTATCTCTTCAGAAAAAAACAATGAACCTCTGGAAATTTTTTTTAATCTGAGAAAATGACTATTTATAAGCTCACAGATTGTATTATGAGAAGTCACACAGTCTTTAATTGTGAAGTTATATTTTGTTTGCTTTTTATTGAAGTGGTTCCCATCACTCTGTGGACTTCAAGTCTTAATTATGAAATTTCAGGATAACTGTCTAAATAGTTACTCTGTACTATTAAACTGGTCACTCTGAACTTGCAAGGACTGCTGAAGGGACTTTAGAAGAAGGAATTGGGATCATTTACTGGAGCTTTGGCATAGGAGATATTCAAGTGAAAATCATCTATGAACAACCATAAACATAATACCACATGAACCAAAAATATGTACATGATAAAGCTAACAGAAAATGAGCCTGAAGTAAGAGAAATGAAGTCAAGATCAAGCAAGTCCTGACCTCACTGAAACTCTGCACTAGCTGCCTGTCTAGAATAGTGGTCCTGACATGTATCAGCTTCTCAGTGTTATCGTCTATTGAACTGACCTGCTCAGAGAAACCATGGAGTGGAGCTGCATGGATCTTCCCAGGGACAGCTACTACGAAATTTGAAATATAAATTTARAAGACTTTCAGAATCTATTGGAAGGCACCTGAGAGGGACCAAAAGCAGGGACAAACTAGAGAGTTAACAGCACCTAGCCTGACAAATAAGTGGCTGCCTTTAACTCCAGCATTCTCTTCCCAATTCTCCTGCCATTCAGTCAGAAGGAAACTGTAGTCCTTGGTTGAAGTGTTAAGGGACATCTCTGGACTCACAAGCAGCCAGAAAATTAGACGGGCTAAGTCCTCAACCAAAGAGGCATCCGAAAAAAAATCTTCTTATAAAGTTCATGCAAATTCTTGCTGAGCACTAAATGATGCATGCTCAGGGGGTGTCCAGGACAGCGGCAGTAGATGGAAAGAACTGAGCAGAAATATGAGCAACTGCTCTGACAGAGAGAAACTGGAGTTTCAGCCCAACAAGATTAAAGACTCGCAAAGCTAGAAGAACCACTCAGAAAAATACATAAATACAGAGTCCCTACAACACATCATTTTCTAATATCCAATACACTATCAAAAATAAGGTTRAAAAATATAACACACACATACAGCACTAGAAATCAATACCCCTTTATCTTACAATTAGCAAAGACTGCAAAGCAACTTTTGTGAATATGAAATATGTTCAAGGGCATAAAGGAAAATATATGCAAAATGAATAGGCAGATGAGTGATCTCTGCCAGAAAATACAAATTATAAAAAAAGAAGAAATGATACAGCAAAATTGACATACAAAACTTAGCTGAAGCAATATGACCTCAGACTGGAATTGTATGACAAAACATCAATGAAGTTGAAACTAGACAAATAGAAACTTTCCAAATATGAAGACTAAATTGCAACTAAAAGCACTCTAAGTACTGTGGCACTAAACAGTAACATCCCTCAAAAGACTTTGTGAAATTTTCCCATCCGTTATGTGATCATTCAAGAAAATGCCAAGATTCTCCGTTATCTTGGCATTTGTTACACCTATACATTTTTGCCTGTAAGAATAATGTAACAATCATGAGGACCCTGAAAATGTTCAAAGATAAAGCAGTTCTTTTCAACACAGCCTAAAATTATTGTAAAGGCTACTGTTTCTCCTGAAAGATATCTTTGAATAGATGTTCTCTCTGGATTCATATATTCTCATGAATACTGTACCTCTACTCTCAGGGCAATGTTGGTAATTCACTGAAATTGCTACATATGCTCAGGACCAAAGTTCAGTGGCTGTGAATACCAGATTCTCAGTGAAGACTTAATGAACATATCCTGATTTCCCACAGAAAGTGTGCCAACAAACTGCTCCCAAGATGAGCACTCTTGAATTCTTGAAAAATCTAATTCTCAAATGAACATCAAAATGGTTCCAGAAGTAAAAGAGATTGGCCTGAAAAATACCAAGTAAGATTTTGGCCTTTGGTATTCTAAACTGACTTCTTATGAAGCCAAAGCTATTTATGGACAATCATGGCCTTATGAAGACATAGATTCATCAAACTAGGCTCATTAGGAAACTAAAACTCTTAAGTTTATATTATAAGTACCCACATCAGGCAATGCAGAAGAATTTTTCTAGTATTAGCTGAAATCACCCTTACATCTACCCAGATTACTCCGCAAGGTATGAGATAAGAAGGAAAAAAACCTATTATACTTAGATGATGGAGTTTGGTTTATTGTTTATTTTTGACATGTTTCCTTAACATAAATAATGGTTAAATTCAGAAAAAATTAAAAGGCCCCACAAAATTTTTATTTTCTCCTTTTCCAAGCCATAGTGCAGCATATAATAGTTGTTCGCTGTGAAATCAATCTAAACATTTAGGAAGATCACAGAGATCACTGGGACTGAGCAGCTCTGCCAGGCTTCACCCAGCCCAGGCAGAAATGCCTTCAGTACATAGTTCTCTTGATCCCTGGGATTCTGAAATCTCAAACATTCTCCTGGGTGGGCTTGTGGAAAGAAGGTCTGAGAGGGACTCCACAGTGGCAAGGACACAGGCCAGGGGAGCAGCCTGGAACCCTGCACATGCCCTGCCCCTGGGTGTGGGCGGGGTCAGGGAAGTGCTGGACATGCTTTGAGTACTCATGGCAAAGATGAAGGAATCCTGCAGATGCACCTCAGACCCTACTCAGCTGACTTCTAGGCAATGAATTTATCCTGGGTGGGTGACAACTAAAAAGTGAGATCTATAAAAAGAATTTAGTCTTTCCCTGAGCAGTAGACTAAACACATCTAGGGCCCAGGGCCACTCTGCTTTTGATCTTCCTTCCCGACAGCAGAAGGTTACAGCAAGCTCACACTCAGGTTTACTGCCATTAAAAACCTGTAACGGGACTTCTATATTTTCTGGAAAACCATGAATACTTTTACTATTATTTAGCAATACCTCTTCTGAAAAAGTTACTGTGAGCATTTCTTTAGAATTTAATTCTAATTAAATGAAAAGTTCATTTCATTGACAACTTTAACAACTCCGTAAGAAAAAAAAACAAAATATTGAATTTTTAGTTACATAAACACTTGATCACTTAAGAATTCTAATGACAGGTGATCAGTTTATCTTCTCTATCAGTTGTCATTATTAAGACTTTAATTTCTTACCAAAGAGGGCTCAGCTTTGTAACTCAAGTTCAAAGTCTAGATCTTCCTCAGAGTTTATCTAAGCTTCAGTTCTCTCAAATGCATGATGAAAATTAAAAAGCA